CCAAGTCCATAATTTTTACCAAAGTTCCTCCATTTGTTAAAAACTCGACAAAAGTTGATTAAATTGGCTGACTTATTTATCACAATAGCTCTAGTTTTGTGAAAAAGGACGCAACAAGGTGAGTGTATTAACACATTTAGCTTGTAAATGACTAAGAACCAAGCCAAAAGCAAATGGTTCTCTATTAGATGGACTATTGTCCAAAGTCAATTGAAAAGGAAAACATCACAATATTCCAACAACTGAATTATCAATTGCATAATCCTATGAATAGTTGTGCGGTCCTTGCATCTAATATTTCAGAGTTGGGATATCTAAAGAAAAGGAATGGGAAAGGGGAAGGGAAAATAAGAATATTTGTAAATTAGCATTTACTTTCTGTAGTTCTTAAGAAAACCTATACATGGCCCTCATGAATAGCTGGAAGCATGGGCCATCCCAAAAGATTTAAGTCCTAATAAAAACTGCCACTAAATCACAATGCCATTACGTAAAATTTGGAAGCGTTCCCAATCAATGTTCCATGTATTTCTTCTGCCACCGTAATTTTCCTTGAATTTAACTCTCGGGAGTAGGGGTGGAGCCGAGAATTTTGTTTAGGGTAGGCACTTTAATTACACACTCTAATTTTTTTTTCTCCTACATAATTACACTATATAATATATTTATATTTATTATACAAGGATCAAAATATCGTTTCGGTGTATTGTTTCGGTCACCTAGAAAACACAAGCGTTTCGACGTGTTTCGGAAACGTTTCGACCCGTTTCGGAAACATAATGAAAAAAATAAAAAATTTAAGAATTATTTTTCTAAAACATTGATGAAAATATATCGAAGTATCTTTAAATACCTTAAAACATTCTAAAACAATTGTGCAAATGCATTAAAATATTATAATAAATTAAAAAAAATTATGGAATACCTCGAAATATCAGAATTTCGATTTCATCACTGTTTCGTTTCGGTCTCCTTGGAAACAAAAACGTTTTGACCATTTTAAAACGATATTTTGATCCTTGTTATTATATCATATTTGATACATCAAGTCCATTTAACATAAAAAAAAAACCAAAAAATAATGTATATTGTATATGTATAAAAAAATGACTAATTATCACCATTGTAAAAAAATGGAGTTAATTGTCATTTTTGAAATTAAAAAATATTAATTATTCACTAACAATTCATTAAATTTATCATTTATTCTAAACTTTATCACTAAGATATTAGCATAGTAAAACTACTAAAATAAAATTAAAGAGCTAAGCATAGTAAAAAAATTGAAAATTGTTTGATACATAATAAAGACTATAATCAATACTCGAATAGAAATAGAGTCGATTTCTCGTACGAAAAAAAAAGTCAAATGAAGGTCAATTGCAAGAGTTTTCCTTTGCAAAAATTCATAAATAATAAAATTAAGGTTATCTAGAGAAAGTCTTAATACAATAAAAAAGACTAAACAATTGAAATAAGAAAATTATAGGATGGGTACAAGTAAAAAATATATTTATAATTTTTAGAATATATAAATATAAGTATACATATAATATTTTTTTTAAAAAATTTGAGGGTGGGCCCGTGTCCACCTTCACCCCTGTGTAGCTCCGCCCATGACGGAAGAAATTTCCACAAAGTAGAAACATTACAATTCCGAATCTGAATTTCATTTTAAGGTTTAGTGCCAATTTCCATAGAGAAACTCTTAGCCTAAGAAGCACAATGAAGGTGTTGTGTCCATCACATGGACGAATTCTTATATCTACCGGATGCTCTACTAGCATAGGATCCATATGGCCATATGAATAACCTAAAATTACTAAGACTTCTTAGATGCTCACTATGCAACCAACACCGAGTAGGAGTTCCAATAGGATTTTTTAAGCATGAAAAGAAGTATAGGTGCCACGAGTAAATGATGAATGGTATCTCCATTATTATTTATCATTGCTATGTGTTGTCTATAACTTGCCGGTGTGAAAATGATTATAATGCAATCCTCAACCATAGATTCAAAGCAAACTAATATTGAGGCCTTGGGTTGTCATACTAATACAATTATAAGTATTTTCTGTATTATATATAAATATATATAGAAAATCATAATTGTTTGTTGATGTGCTTTGTGGTATCAATGTCCTACACATTTGTTGTTTAGCGTGTCCATGTCTTGAAGTATCGGTGTCCCACATCACAGTCCTTGCTTCGTAGCTCTGAGCTTCATAGGTCTGAGCTACACACAAATTTATTAATGCCACACTATTGGTATTCCCTAGAATCATTGGTGGAGCTATTTATCTAAAAGAAGATGCTTTCCCCTAGTCAGAAGCAACTTTGAAACCAAATTTGCTTTTGCATCTTGCTTTCTTTGTTTTCTAAAACAACATTTTTGTCTTCATAAAATAATAGGTAGACCTCTTTCAAAACAAAAACCTAAAAAGAACTACCGCCTACATTTAAGTTCAGATGTATGTGCACATTTGTAATATAATTTTTATATAATCTAGGAGTTGGTTATTTGAAGATTATTAGTCAATAGTTAGTGATAAGAGTATTTCGTAGGTAGTTTCTAGGTGATTACTAAGATAATGAAGTCCTGATTAAGTTAGTTATTAAGGTAGTTTTTATCATTTTGTATTTAAAGGCTTTTCTATCAATGGAAATGGTATGTTGAATATTGCGACAAACTTTCTTATGAAATTTTGGAGATTCGGTTCTTCTCGAATTGAACCAACAGAGTTTCCAACCCACCTCAAAGCAGATTTTCTTCCTCTATTCTATTTTTAGTTTTATTTATATTTTCCCTAAAAGTGTGCACGTAACAATTAGTATTAGAGTCAATTATCTTATTGATTGCTATCTTGGAGATTTTGAAGTTGATGCACGAAGATTTTCAAACAACATTCAAGTGATTGATTGACTTAAATCAACACATGCAAGAAGGCGGCTTCGACAGACTTAAGAAAATTTTTCAAGAAGAAATTTTGAATGCAAATCAATACCATCAATCGACTGGCCAAGAGGAAAGGTTTATAAGGTATCAAGCAAGGGATTGGTGGCATTGTAATAAGTGAGGCTAAAATTTTAGATGCTATAAAGTTCAATGTTGCAGTTCAAATGATTTTTGGTGAAAAAATTGAATATTTTGATTGTTATAAGGTAGCATGGAAATGGGTTGGCCTTCCCCTTGATTNGAAGCATGGAAGTGGGTTGGCCTTCCCCTTGATTAGCCATTCCATATACTCTGCTTGTAACACATTGAGAAACTTACCCCTAACCCCCTCAATTACTTCAGTTGTTAGTTGTTAGCATTTTGCCTACTTTTCTTCTGGCGTCTCTCTTTTCCTTTCTCTTTGTCTATATCTTTGGTCTTTATATCCCAAATCCTTTTCATCTATGTTATTCCCTTTTTTCGTTTCTTCCTTTACATGGCTGCAAAGTCTATAGCAACCTTCTCGTGTCTTATAAAAACATCTAATCTTGCTTTTGATTTAGCTACCCAAATTAATGGATTGTTCGTGTCTATGATATTTATGTGTCACCTTGGGCTTTGCTTTTAGATGCAGATTATGAAGTTCACCGACAGCAAAAGAAGATAGAGTTGGACCCTCAAGAAAAATCTAAATTTGATCGAGCACTCAAGGGCATAATGCAACACCACTTCATTCAAGAAATCCAGTTAGTTGGTTGCCTTTTTTTGTACATGAGAAATCAAACATTGGGGACAAAGTTCTCTTAAAAGGGGAATGTAATGTTATGTGAACATTTTTACTATTTTTTTATGTAATCTAGGAGTTGGTTATTGGAAGATTATTAGTGAGTAGTTAGTGATGGAGTATTTTGGTAGGTAGTTTTCTAGGTGGTTATTAAGATAATTGAGTCATGTGTTAGGTAGATTATTAAGGTAGTTTTTATCATCTTGTATTTAAAGATAAAGATCTTTCTATCAATGGAAAAGGTATGTTGAATATTGTGATAAACTTTTTTTATAAAGTTTTGGAGATCCGAATTCTTGAAACCAACAAAGGTTTCCAACACCCCTCGAAGCAGATTTTCTTCCCCTATTCGATTTTTAGTTTTATTTATATTTTCCCTAAAAGTGTGCATGTAACATGCTTCCTGTGATGGATTTAATTAGAATTGAAGCAGAAAGATCACAATGCTATGCAAACCAACACCTTCAATTGCACAAACTTAATGATACTTTCAAAAACTGCAATATACAAATGCAAGTAACACCCAATCATGTTCTATGTAATTACTCCAATTTGCAATTCCATTTAGTGATCGCTAAATAGCACAGATCTGCAAATTAAAATCTTTGCTGCATGTTCTGATTCTCATTGTACTCGTTTCCAGCTAGAAACTTCAAAGCAACCAAAGGGTAAATAGGCAACAAGCATCTCAAATGTAGATAGTAGACTACAAATTGCATTTTACAATTCTCACACATCAGATATATACACACATCACACCCAAGTATTTTATATATGCTTAATCCACACTAAAAGTCCATGGAGTGGTCACTAAATGGCACAACTCTGCAAATTAAAATCTTTGCTGCAACTAGCATTTCAAATGTTGATTACAAAATACACATGGGAATTCCCAAATATGGCATAATTCTCACCATTTCACAAACTGCAATAAATAGCTGGAGAATCTAGGTTACATATGTTCTTCCCCATAGTGCACCCTCCAAATACTAACGGGACCAACAAGGGTAATAAGCCAAACTTATCTTTTCCACCAACAAACANTGGAGAATCTAGGTTACATATGTTCTTCCCCATAGTGCACCCTCCAAATACTAACGGGACCAACAAGGGTAATAAGCCAAACTTATCTTTTCCACTAACAAACACCGAAATTATATTGAGTCCAAACATAAGAATGTTTGTGAGATTATATCGAGACCAAACATAAGATTCCATCTGCTGAAGCTTCATTGCTTTTCTCAGTGATACAGACAACCAATAAACCAAATTCAGAAATTCCTAAGCCTTAGTTTGCCTAAATTCAAACCAAATATCATAGTGATTGAAGAGTAAACTATCATGTGTGGACTTCTCAACATACTCGAGCCCTATACTTTTTAACCTTTTTGTACATTCATCTCCCCCAAGCCGTGAACAGAACTTCATATTATGTGATACAAAAATTCGACCTTCTAGAGGTTTCAACCTACCCACTAACCTCTCTAATCCAAACCAAACAAGTTTATCAGGCATATGAAGAAAAACCGCACTGGCATATATCAAGTCATACATAAAACCAGATCCAAATCTGCTAAAATCCATATCTTCACCTCTCACAATCAGAGGCCGCTTATGCAATAAACCTTGGGATGGAAGCTCGTACCTAAATGCCGCCATTAACGAGAGCTCGTCTCGCTCCAGACAGTGGAAGTGTTGTGGGTCCAAATAACGGATGAAATGCAAACCTACGCGAAGTGTGCCACACCCAATTTCCAGAACACGTGAGTTTGGCGATAGCTGGGTAGACTCAGCAAGAAACTCAAACACGTCTCGCCCTCCCGCCCAGGGCTCGCCGTAGTTGCTGTGGTGCTGTTCCACCAGAAGCTCACCAGGGCACGGTAGAGCCGTGTGATTGTTTGCTTCTTCCCCTTCATAGTGTGATATGCCCTTGAATCTGAAACCACAGGAGAGCATAATCACAACTGTAAATCAAGTGTTCGACTAAATGCACAAGAGAGAGGGGGGAGAAGAGAGAGAGAGAGTGTGGCTACTCGATCAAATCTTGGAGCTGTTGAGCGCGAGTGCGAGGATTGATGCCTTTACGGAGCACATTGTCTTGCATATGCAGTCCATTCTCATGGATCTGACTCTTGACCCATTCAACATCCTCCCTCGTGGCCGAGATCCGACCTCCGCCACTTCTGACGGCGGAGACTGTACTCTCAACGGTGGATTCACCGTTGGTGGGGCAAGAACAAGGAGGAGGAGAGGAGATAGAGGAAAACAGGAAGAGAAAGAAGATTGCAGCGGCTGTCGCAGATAGCAACAGGACTGGGACTGTAACTACAATGCCCTTTAGAGAGGAAGATGATGACGATGATAGGGCCATGTGGGTTTGGCCTCAGGAAGATAGCAAATTGGTGCTATTTTGGCCTCACGAAAAACTTAGCCGCAGCCAATTTGAGTTATTCCACGGAGGTGTTGAGTTAAAGTGGATGTTAAAGATACCAACCAAACGAAAAATATATGTCGTCGAGCTATGAGCTTAATTGTTGGAAATGATATGTGGCAAAAAATTTTGTTTGTCTATAATATATACAGTTTCTCCAGTATTTAGATAAAAAAAGAAGGATTAACTTTGAATTTTATCTTGTATTTTAACCGAGTTTTGTCAATTAAGAAATGATGTTTAAAATTGGGTTTCGACATATTTGGCATTACACCCAGTTGCATGGAGGAGCAATTTCATACATAAACCCTATAAGATTCTATTGGTGTTTGAAATCCTATGTCCTAGTTTTTTTTTGTCATGCCATGGAGACATGAATTAACTTTTTGTTTTTTGTTTGTATATTTCAAATTGTTTTATTAAAATACGTTAAGCAAAATTTAAAATCGAGATTAAGAATAGAAATGTGAATTAGACGTTATTTTTCACTTTTTATATAATGTCACCGAAAGTATTTTATGCACTTCGCCAAAAGTATTTCACTATAAAATCTGCTTGGAATCTAATATGGAGTGCAGGTCAGCAAAATGTTCAGGCTTCTTCTATATGGAAACAGGCAACACCTCCAAGTGCTCAGCTCATTGGTTGGAAATTACTACATAATGCCTTGCCTGTGGATTCTATATTTCAAGCTATGGGGGTCGCTTTGGCTAGTAAATGTGTCTTTTGCTCGAATGATTGTGAATCAGCGGCGCATATCTTCATTAATTGTAAGTATGCAATTTCGATTTGGGGAGGGTTATCAGATCTATTGGGCATTAAACTTATTTCTCATGAAGGACCACACACAAGGTTTATGAGGATGGTCAGGATTTATAAGAAACCTACTGACTCATTCACTGTTGAGAGGTTTATCCTTATTGGTCTACTGGCAGTTGTGGAGGGAGAGATGTAGCAGGTTGTTTGAAGACCAGAAGACTCACTCTTCTTCTCTGTTAAAGTACATAATGCACTTGTGGAAACTGCAGGTACATAATATTAGTCCTAAGGTATTGGATTCGGAGCAGGATTTGATTTTATTGGATACCATTAATGTGAAAAGACCTAGGACTATTTTACGGCAGGTTAAATGGATAGCTTGGAGGTTTCCAGATGAAGGTATGCTTAAACTGAATGTTGATGGAGCTTCAAAAGGGAATCCAGGTATGTCAGGAGGAGGGGCCATTATACGAAATTTCAATGGGCAGTTGGTTCTGGCCGGGTATTACATTTATGGTCTATGCTCTAATATTGAAGCAGAGATGAAGGCTTATTGGATGGATTACGACTGATAAGGAATTTTGGATTGATAGATTAGTCATTCCTCATTGAATCTGATTCTAAACTGCTAGTGGACATAATTAATCAGAACAGGCAGGCTTCTTGGAAATTCTGGGGTATTCTCAATCAAATTTGTTCTATTCTTAATGGTTTGGATTTTTGAATTCAGCACCCCTATCGTGAAGGTAACACCGTAGCAGACTCATTGGCTAACCAGGGTGTTTTGGCTAGATCTTCTTCCACATTTTCGTCTTCAGACAATCTTCCAGTAACTACTAGATTCTTGATGTTGCAAGATAGGATGCAAATCAGGAATGTAAGACTAATACCCATAAACACAGATCATGCAAACTCTTACGGCAGGATCAGCAACAAATTAAATTTCTAAGATCTAAGTCATGCATGCACAGCAGTTCAAATCAAGCAGCATAGTCCATTTATACAAGTCCATAGTTTATTACATACCCATCCCTATTCTAACATGAGAGATATAATTTTCAGATTTAAAGAAACTAAAGTCGAAAATATGGTAGGCACCTGGTCGATTTCTCCTCTCAAGCAGGATAGATTTGTTCTTCTTCTGGTTCAATGTCGAGGCTTCTGGTATTCTGCTTTGTCTACTGGAATTCCTTCTGTTCTCCAAACTATCTGGAATTGTTGGATGTTTATCTGTCTCTGGAGATCTTGCACTGGACATTCATCTGGCTGCTCATACTTCATGGCACCTAGCATTTCAACAGGATCACTCGCTGGCTTATCTTCTGCAGGTCTCATCTGTTTATGGAATTTTTTGGGGATTCTTTGCGTTTTGGAGGTTTTCATTCTTCCTGCGTTTTGGAGGCCACTGGAATTAAGCTGGATTTCTCCCTACTGTACCAAAGCTGGATATTCATCTTCTGTCTGGCTATTCATACTCTTCCCAGATTTTAGGGGCATTCTGTTGTGTTCACATATTCTACAGGTTCAAGAGATCGTGGATATTCATCTTTTCACTGGGGATGTGCCCCAGGTCTCCCTTCGATGACCAGAGACTCTTCACTTGTCTTTCAGCCGCCTTGTCAATAAGGTGGCTGCCTTATTACTGGTCTTTTCATACGCCTTATGCAAGCCTTTTCATATGCCTTATCAAACACTTTATCAGATACAGAGACTTTCAGTTCTTTGGCTTACCCAGCTGGAACTCTTCCAGCTCTGCTCTGCCTTTACTTCATTCTCCCAGCTCAGCTAGAATGCTCTCAGCTCAATTTTTCTGCTTGGACTGCTCGAAGCTCACCTCCTAGCTTGGATAAAATTCCAGCTTCATCTTCTTTCAAGGCAGTCATCCCCTTCAGCTCATTACTGCAACTCTCAGCTCATGTCAAGCTACTCTTGCTGCTTGTACACGCAGCTCTAAGCTCATGCTGCTCATGACCCATCTGATATTCTTTTAGCTGGTTGGACCATTTATGCGTACATCTTGGCTGCTGCTTGTTTTCTCCAACAGCTGGACCTTGTTCAGCTGGCCTCTTGGTTCTGCTGGACTCTTATTTCAGCATTCCTTTTAGGCAGCCAAATCTTAGTATTTTCTTTATTTCATTATTATTTGTACTACACATGCATTTTGCACTTTTTCTTTTATTTTATTTTCATCTATGTAATTAGATTGTATCGAGGGGAAAGGTACATATGTCCCCCCTAGTTAGGTGTCATTTAATGTTTCAATCAATAAATTTCTCTCGCACCGTCGAGGTTTCCAAAAAAAAAAAAAATTTGATATGTACATTCACCAAACACTACACATTTATTGAAAGTTCATTCTAGGAAGTTTGTCTTCATAATATTTGAAACTCTAAAAAATCTTTAAATTCTAAATTTATCCTCTAAACAATTAAAAGTCTTACATTTTACTCCCAATCAGAAAAAAAAAAAAAATATAATGATACAGTCTAAAATCAAATATCTGTTGTTTTGTCCCCAAATATTTTTATTTCTTGCTTTTTATATTTTTCTATTTCTATATAGAATTGTTTGCATAAACTTAATTTTGTTAAAATGGATCATGCTGTTATCTTTCTATTTGATTTAGAGTGTAACATGAAAATTTTAATTTTTCAGGATATAAATTGAAAATTTAAAATGTTTCAAGGTATAAATTATAGTTTGTCCTTTTTCTTTATTTTTTTAAAAAAATTTTATTAGAAATTTAAATAAAATTTATTGTATATAAACGAGTTCTACACTAATACATGATAATTACCTCCAACTACCACAAGAAAAAAATTAAAAAAAAAAAAACAAGAACATAAAAGGATATAGATCCAAGGATCTAAAGGACATCTGATAAAATTGGAATGATACAGAGAAGATTAAAATGACCCTTGTGTAAGGATGACATGCACAAATCAAGAAATAGTCCATTAGGAAAGAAAAATTTCAGTGTAATTGTGATGCAATGATTTATTAAATTATAAGAGACATCCCTGTAGTGTCTAAAATTATATTGTATATTTTGTCCTGTACAATTAGGGGTGTCAATCGTGTCAGGTTAAGTAGGTGAAAAATGTCAAAATTGAATACGATCCACTTATTTAGTGTCGACACGATCTATGTAACCCACCAAATAAATTGACACAAGCTCTGAAAATTAAAGCTTATGGAGTAATAACAATTTGAAGAGAGAGAAAGAGAAAATTTTGAGAAAAATCGAAGCTGATCAAAAAGAAGAACAAAAATTTCAAAATTTTACACCCATACATAACCTCCTTGGACAGATCTATATATGTTTTTTACAGATTAGAACTATCAAAAATATTAAGCCACACAGATATACGAGAGAGAAAGAGAGAAAGAGAGAGAGAGAGGTGGAGAAAGGAAAAGATTGAGAGGGGCTCACAGTTAGGCCACCTAAGGAGTAATACTACTGAGCTGAACTGCTATGGGCTGGACTAAGAAAAAAAATGGGCCTCTAAATTAAATTGAATAAATCCTATTTTTAGGCCCAATTTCTATGTTTACCTAATATTTAAATGGATTGATATACTTCACCTGAATGCGACCTGTTTAACAGGCAAGTTGGTATTTAGTCGTTTATCACCTGAACTCATTAAGGTAAAATCAAAACTCGCTAATTTCGTGTCATATAATTAGTTTGTGTTGCATTTTGCTAGGCCTAACTAAGGACAAAAAGGTGGGGTTATTCCCACAACTTAATTATCCTTTGTTATCCCATTTAAATCTCTAATATCAAATTATTAAGTTCATCTCATCTATATCCATCCAATTAGTGATTAAGTCCACATTGTCTATACCCACCTATTAATAACCAAGGTCACCCCATTTTCTCCTTAGCTATCATATATTCTATCCATAAACTATGACTTCCTTCCATAATGTTTATCCTATCTCATTTCACACACATATTTGTATTGTCCAGTTATATTTTTAACATTATTATTTTTATCCCTTTATCTTTTTTTACGTGATTATTTTTTTCAATGATATATGCAAATTATCAATTGCATTTTAGATAAGAGACACATGTGAATGATATAGTTCTATTCGCACTAGATATTTAGAAGTAGATGCATAATCTTTATTGGTTAAGTACAAAGTGGATCGATGTAGTTGTGAAGGAAAAAGTGATTGATCTTTTAAATAGATTGTTTCATGTTATTATTGGGATGAGTATAGGTGAGGTGGACTTAATAGTTTGAAATTATAAAATTAAATGAAGTGAAAAAAGATATTTAAGAGGTGAAAATAACCTCACCTAACACAAAATGGAAAACTACCATATAGCCTTTTAGCATAAAAAATGAAAGGCTATTAGTGCAGTTTTGTATGGATCGTTTAACTTTTACAAAAGAAAAGTGATAAAATTGACCAACATAAAATTTAAAGACCAAAGTGAGAATTTGGTAAAATTTTAATGATGAAAAAATAGTTTAGTTGTTAAAAACTTTTTATGATGGTTTATGCTTCGTTTGCTACGATGGAAAAATAAAATGATGAAAATTTGAAAAAATAAATAAAACATTGTGTTTGGTAAGGAAGGATGAAAAAGTACATGGATTAACTTCTTTCTAACTCACTAATATCAATCCCTCTAAAATTGGGAGAAAAAATATATGAAAAGTTAATTATGTGTGCTATAAAAAATTTAAAAAATTAAAAATTAAAAAAAAAATACTTTTCCATATTATCAATCACAAAAAAAAAAAAAAATCAATCATTTATACTTTCTATCCCTCTTATCAAACACAAAAGAGGGGAATGAATGATTTCTCCCTCGAAGGATGAAAAGTGTATCACTCATACTTTTCATCTTTCTATTTTTACATCCACCCTACCAAATAGACCATTAGAAGGAAGACTAGCAATCTCTATACCTAAAGCACAATACCTAAACATTGCCTCTAAGGATTTGAAATTGCCCGTTCTTGCTTTGTTTGATGTGAAAATTGAAGAACACCTAATTTTTGGTGATAAGAACTTATAGGGATATTCCAATGTGGGAGTCAAATGAAAATTAAGAAGTTTTATTTCTTGACTAGACTCTAATTGGCTCAGCCCAGACTAGGCCTAGATCAAAGATGTAGGCTCGATGCAGGTTAGGCCAAGGCCATAGATGCAGACCAACAAAAGCTCATCACAATTTCAATTGAGCCTAGTACACTACTTTGGACAACTAGTTATTATTAGCGCACATGGGGATCTATATCTTAGGAAGGGAATCATGGAACACAGTCATCAGGGTGCGCATCGCCAACTTCAGGAAGTCACCTTGCCCGTTCTGAGGATGACGTTTGCCTCACCCACCTCGCTCTCTGTAATGACGCCTCAATCAAGGCTCTTTCGGAGCTCTTGCGAAATTTTATTCGCCTATAAATTATAAGCCCTACCTACACATGAGAGCATCATATAAATCTTAACACTCTACACCCCTTGAGTAATAAGATTCTTCAGTCACCGTAGCCATTCTCCGTGGAGTAGGTCATTTAGACCGAATCACTTAATTTGTGTCTTTTACCATGTTGAGCATACCCCCATCACATACACCACTATATCTTTGATTGATTTTTCATAAACACATTTGTGCATCATCAGTTAGGCACCATCTGTGGGAACGACTTAGTTTTCACCCTACTGTATTCTCGTTTTTATGGCTATATATAACTAGAGCCATGAGTCAACAAAGGAAAAATGATGATCAACCACGTCAGGACGAGGTCCCGCCCCCACCGGCAAACTCCATTGTTGAAACACAACTACTGAAGACTATACAGTTGTTGGTAAATCAAAACCAAGAAATCCTTCAATTGATGCTTGCTAGGCACCTTAGAGTTGTCCCCTAGTAGCCAGGAGGGGCAGCATCCCAAACATCCCGACTAGTGCACCAAGGCACCCCATCTCAGTGCCTCGAGCGCCCTAACTTAATGCGCCCCAGCTCCCCACCTCAACGAGCCCTCGTTCCCCCTCTTCATAAGCCCGCTCAATCCTCCCATACTAATGACCCTTTGTTCCAAGAAGACAAGGGAAAAACCTAGCATATGGACCATGAAACCACTATAACAACCCTAAAGGTGTCCCCAATTACTGGGATGAGAAGATCAAAGAAGTACAGAACCAACTGGGCAACATCGTCAATGCCATGAATGTGAGAGAGCTGGAAACATTTGAGCACCTTGTGAGGTGTACTGATATGCCAATTGTAGCTGATATGACTAACTACCCCTTCCCACTATAGTTCAGAATGCCAACTATGGAAGTTTTTGATGGCTCAAAAGATCCATTAGGCCACCTTATTACCTACAAATCCCTTATGCAACTATAAAACATACTAGAAGAGATTATGTGTAGGGCTTTCCCTACCACCCTCAAGGGGTCTGCACACTAGTGGTTCGCAAAACTCAGACTAGCATTAATAAATTCTTTTGCTAAACTATGCAAATCCTTCATCTCCCACTTTATAGGGAGACGTAGACAACAAAAGCCTGTTACCCACTTGCTCAGTATTAAACAAGACTGGGACGAAAGTCTAAGAAGTTACCTTACTTGTTTTAACAAGGAGGTCCTCTAGATTGAAGAGTCAAATGACAAAGTTATCATCACTGCCTTCATAAGTGACCTGCACTCATCCAATTTTTTGTTTTTTATTTTAAAGCGCTTGCCAAAGAGCATGCCAGAATTATTGTCAAAAGCCCATAAATATATGAACGTCATAAAAGCCAGGCGAGGCGAGTCCTCATGTGGAGGGGAGAAAAGTAAAGAGCCCCATGAAGATAAGAAAGAGATCGAGAACAAAAGGGGCAAGACAAAGAGGGTGTCAGCCAAAGACTATCTCGAACCTATTCCTCAGAGGGAATGACAGGCCTTCATGCCACTCAATGTCTCAGTTGAGCATATTTTGCTCCAAATTCAGGACGACCATG